TCCCAAAATTTGAACACATGATCTCCCTTGAAAAGAGACCTAAGTTGAACCCCGATACTCATTAGACAACTTGTCCAATCGGTATCAAGTTTTAATTTAAGTGATTCTTATGGGAAATGTGAAGAGTTCGAATCTTGGAAATTCTTGAAGGGTAAGATGAGTTTAGGTTCTCCCAAAACGGTTAATACTAAGTTAATAACTTGGACATAGACGTCGCGTTGTATAAAAAAATGAGTGTTTTTCTGCGTTCAAGTTGTCATACCATACGTATTGTCCAATTTATGAGGTATCTATCAACTTATCCTATGCCCATCCAACTATGGTCTGTGATTGTGAACCTTTAGTGACTGTGAGCCCCGCTATTGCCTGACCAGCTTCTGCTGCTGTTAGTCTATGATACTGACAGTGACTGTGAGCCGANATATATATATATAGTATGTAAATTGTGAATGATTTATGATTTATGAAAATTGGGGAATTTGTGATAAATGATAATTTGTGAATTTGTGATAAATAATAAATTGGGAAACCTGTAATTTGTGGTAAATTGGTATTGGAAATTGAAAATTGGTGATAGTAAGTTTAAATTACATTTTGGTGGTGTACATGGAACGAGAGATTTTTTTTTAAAAAATTGAGAATGAAGCAACTTGTAGTGCTTTCAAAGTACGAGATCCTCGAGAATGCAACTGCAGTTGTCTTACTCCAAAGATTTTTAATATTATTTAATTAAATATTAGTAAACGATTTCGATATTGTGGTCGTTGACAGTCGATGGTCAATGGTCAACAACCATCTTAACTCACCAAGAATCATGAATTCATTACTGCATGTGATCGAAAATAAACTGAACAAAAAAGGAAGTAGATAAAAGGCAAATGTAAAGAAAAACATATCATCGACATGTCTTAGCAAGTATCACATTTATTCTTCTTGAACCCTATTTGGCTAATTGACCTCCATAGCACATACCTATGTTGACTCCCACTGCTAAGTTGCCAGCCACGGGCATCTTCTTTAGATAACATTCCTTTCTAACGTATTCATTGTTGAAGAGGATACATAATCGGTGTAAAATATTGTGATCAATCTTCATATAATTTGATCCGAGAATTAAACCAAACAAAAATATTGCTTATCTATCCAACATGTTACTTGTCACCATTGCACCAAATATTCTAAATTTGTTAAAATACAATAATGATTGTGAAGAAAATTTCTAAATTTTAGTAATCTTGCACTTATGACTCAAATCTTCCGTCTTCATTTATCCGTTCTCCATTTTCAGATTTGGATTTGGACAATGATCTCGCCCATTCTTAAGAGAGGAAATTACACCAAACCAGGTATTTATTTTAATGTTTATAAAAATCAGGTTTATACTTTATTTAATAAAAAATCAGGTTTTAATTTCACAATTAATACTAATAATGATATTTTAAATTAAATTAATATATATACTCACCCCTACCCCCATCCCCCCATTTCAATCAAATCTATCCAAACCCTAAATCTATCCATTTCTCTCCACCCTCCCATTTCTCTCCACAACCCCGACTCCTCCCACCACCACCGCCAGTCGCCTCCTCCCCTTCTCCCTCCCCCTCTCCCCTCTCTCTTCTTCCCTCCTCTCTCTCCCTATCTCTTTGTCCTCTGTGTGGTGGTGTGTGCGGTGTGTAGTGGGTGTTGTGTGGTGGTGTGTGTTGTTGTTTTGGGGGCGATGGCAGTGGGGAAAGGTGTTTTGGCGGTGGTATTTTTGCGGTGGAAGTCTTTATTCTTCTCTCGTACTAATTTACCCAGACAACTTATGAGGTTTTCAAATTATCCGTTTGAGATTAAGAATCGCAAGCACTGGAGCTTATTGTTTATGACTGGGAACATGTACATGTTAGAACTTTGTTATTTTATTTTTTTTCCTAGTTATTCTCTTTTGTACCTGAGCTGTTTACATTATTCCTCAGGTGGGTAAACATGACAAGATGGGTGATGGTGGATCTGTGGTGTGGTGATGGTGATCCATGTGGTGGTGGTGTTTTTTGTTATTGTTGTGGCAGGGTCAACGACGACGGTGGATTTTTTGGTGTCTGTGACCTAACTACTTCACTTTGTCTTTAAAATTAATAATTTGTAACTAAAAAAAAAACATGTGACCAAAAAATATAAAAATACGTGACCTGTGCCCTATAGTTTTTTTGATCTGTGACCAA